TTTCCCTTCTTCTCAACCATTGGTTCGGTTTTCTTTCTTCACATAGTCTAATCAGCCTAATTCTCACTTTGCTTCAGAAAGGTTCCTGCAGGAAGGCGAATGAGTCTTCCTCTCTTACATAAATTCTCATGAGGCTTCCCTTTATAAGTTTATGACAGCCAGGAGTTGTGCCTGGAGCTCCAAGAGAAGCAGTGGCACACTGATTTATGATGGCAGCTGCTGCTAAATCTCACCTTTCTTTCCTTCTTACAGAGCCATGTTACCTTGGGGTTACAGAACTCTTCACTGTTATTCAGGGGAATAATAATAAAATGCCGGGTTGCAAGTATAAACATGATCATTCTGTGTCTATTATTGTAAATCAAATTTTGCTTGCATCAGAAGCTCAGAAAACATTTCAAATTGTCAGCCACCTCAAGCCTTTTTAGGAATCTATTTTTTTATAACCCTGGGGGTGACCTGAGGTACTGTTTAAGCTGTGCTGACTGGGAAGCTGGTCACAAAGGTGACCTGGTTATTTCTCCTCATAGACCCCACTAACCACTTTCCTTGAGCAAAATATTAATTTGATTTAAGCTTAGCTTTGGGGTTAACAATGTGGACTCAAGACTCCAATTGCCTGGGTTCAAAGCACGGCTTGGTAATTTACTATCTGTGTGCCAGTGACAAGTCACTCAATTTCTCTGTGATCAGTCTCAGCTTTAAAATAGGGATGATGATAGTAACGATGTTACAGGGCTGCTGTGAGGTTTAATGTAGTCAATACACAGCATTTAGAGCAGGGCCTGGGACATGAGTAGCACTCTGATTGTTAGTCACTTATCAGTGCTTTTAGTGTAGTTGCTCCCAATTTTTTTAATGGAGGAAGCCTGTGTTTTAAACAATAACCATTTTTTCATATTTCCATGTAATAATAGTGAAATTTTTAAGATCTGCAGGGTAAGCAAATACATAATTACCAGAGACCAGCAGGACGTCAGTGATACTTCTGAACTGCGGTAGGGCTCACCACTGTCCAGTCCTCTTCCAGAGTTTCCCTTCCACACTGATGCTCTTCTGTGTGTCAAAGCTTGTTTCAGGGGTGCTCGTGAATGATAGCCATTGAAAAGGAAGGTGCCTCCTCTTGGCATGTGGGATGAGCTCAGTAAAGCCTGTGGATACCCATTGAATGACAGTGATGGATGAGAACAAGTACAGACATTGATGGAAGGCCCGCTAGCCCCTCACAGTACCAAATGTATTCTGTGACTAACTCTTGCTTCTCTACCCAATGGCTTGGGTCTTGACCTCTGGTCTAGGTCACACATCTCCATCCTTTCCTAACCCTAGACTCCATCATCTAGTGTCCCTAGGGCACTGAGTTGGATCTCTTTCTCTGTATTCTCATTCTCACCTATCACTATGTCATAAACTCTAATCCTAACTTCCCTGGTACCTTCCGTTTTAATTCTTAAGGCTAGAACTATTTTGTTCTATCTGTATTGTTACAAAAAAATCCAATTCTCTTATTGCTACAGGAGAGGATTAGACTGATAAGGAATTGGTCCTAATCCTGTACATCACCGCTGTATGACACTGATCAAATCACTTCACCCCTTAGTGCCTCAATTTCTTCATCCGTAAAATAGGGAGACAAAATTACCTCAGTCCTGGGTTCCTGGATGTTTAAATGAGATAATGCATGTAAATTGCTTAACACAGTAGAGAGCTAGGCACGCAGGGAAAACTCAATTTAAATGACTGAGCATATGAAACCAAAGATAAACTTATTTTTATGGAGTCTAATAACAAAATTTATTAGAAAACTCCCTTTATCCAAACCCAACCTCAAAACTGGACTCTATTGAGTTTGCTTTGAATATTCATCCAAATTATTAACACTGCTTTGAAATTCTCTCTTCTATTTCTATCCTGAGACCTCTGACATGAGGTCATGACGTGATGTCACAATTTACCTCCTGCTCTGTCTTTGTGAGAATTTTTTGAGCTGGTTCTTAGGCCCCCTCACTTTTTGCATCTGGGAGGTCTCTGGCAGGATTCATGATCTTACCTCTGAGCACTCTGAGGTAGGGTTGCATGCGTTTTGGTTTAATTTCCTTTGGCTAAAAATGAATAATGACAATAGCGAATGGCTTCAGAGATTCTTCTTCCTTCACGTTTTTTAAGAGTGTGTTTCTCCTTTTGATATTTATTACAGGAGTAGTTAGTTTTCTGCTCTGTGATAGTCAAGATTACAGTACAGAAAACAAGTGATTATTTGCATTTCAAAAGTTTTCCCTTCGTGGTAGCCAAGTAAGCCTCTCCAGTGCCCCAATTTACCCACTTGGTCTTTCTTCTCTCTTGGTTACAAAACCAGCAACATAATGTGTGGAGCCCAGTGCAAAATGAAAATTTAGAGCCTTTTGTTTGAAAATTAAGAATTTCAAGATGGCCATAGCAGAGCATTAGACCAAGAGCAGGGCCCTTCTAAGCCTGAGGCCCTCCTGAGCACAGGCGCTGTGGCCACACAGGCAGCTAGCCCTTGAAGCCAATATTGTCTGGAAGGTAGTGGTGGTTAAGATCTTTAGAATACTGTATGTTTGGGTTTGAGGCCTAGCTCTGCAAGTTGCTTTTCTAGGGGGAGAAATATATGATGAGGACACAGGAGCTTATTAGATCATTAGAGGCACATTCGTTTGATGGTTCCCAGGAGTAGGAACCAACATTTCAGTGCCCCACTTAAATGCTGAGAACAGTGCTTTGCACCTAAACAATTGAAATAATTCACATAAAATTCACCCTTTAAAAGTATACAATCTTGTGGCTTCTAGTATATTCACAAAGTTGTGCAACCATCATCATCAATTTCACAATATTTTCGCCCTGCACAGAAACCCTATCCTCATTAGCAATCATTTCCCATTTCTTCTTGCCTCAGCCCCTGGCAACCACTACTGTACTTTCTGTCCTATGAATTTGCCTGTTCTGGACATTTTTCTATAAATGAATCATACAGTATGTGGCCTATTGTATCTGACTTCTTTCATTTAACATAATGTTTTCAAGGTTCATCTATGTTGTAGCATGTATCAGTACTCCTTTCTTTTTTATAGCTGAATAATATTCCATTGTATGGTTATACTACATTTTGTTTATCCAATTACCCACTGATGGACATTTGAGTTGTTTCTACCTTTTGGCTATTGTGTATACTGCCACTATTGTGTACATTACGTACAGATAGATATATACAAATGTAAATATGTACAGATATAATTGGACATTTGTATACAAGTTTTGGTGTAAACATGTTTTCAATTCTCTTGGGTATATACCTGGGAGTACAATTGCCGGATCTTACTATAACTCTGTTTAACTCTTTGAGGTACTGTCAAACTGTTTCCCAAAGCAGCTGTACCATTTTTACATTCCCACCAGCAGTATATGAGGGTTCCAATTTTTCCACATCCTCACCAACACTTATTACCTGTCTTTCTAATATAGCCATCCTTGTAGCTATAATTTGCATTTCCCTGATGACTGATGATGCTAAGCATCTTTTTCATGTGCTTACTGACCATTCATATATCATCTTTGGAGAAATATCTATTCAGATCCTTTGCCCATTTTTAAATTGAGTTGTTTGTCTTTTTATTGCTGAGTTACAGTTTTTTACATATTTGTGTATTAGACCTTTATCAGATATATGATTTGCAAATATTTTCTCCTATGGTTTGTCTTTTCACTGTCTTGATAGTGTTTTATCGAAGCATAAAAGTTTTTAATTTTGATGAATCTAATTTATCTATTTTTTCTGTTGTTGCTTGTGCTTTTGGTGTTATATCTAAGAAACTATTGCCTAATATAAGTTCACAAATATTTATGCCTACATTTTCTTCTAAGAGTTTTGTAGTTTTAGCTCTACATTTAGGTCTCTGTTCCATTTTGAGTTAATTTTTGTATATGTCATGAGATACGGAACATAATTTTAATTCCTGCTAAGCCTCTTAATAATCATGTATCTTTTGGTCAGTTCTTGAACCTAAGTTTTTTTTGTTTTTTTTTTGTTTTTTTTAGGTGAGGCAACCCTTGGTTGACCTCACAGATTGCAAGGACCTTGTCAGCTTACAATCTCTTATTTTAAAATTTTTCTTATTTTTTAAATTTTTATTTATTATTAATATTTACACCTACAGCACCTGGTCTATCCTAGGTGATCTCCCATCCAAGTACTAACCAGGCCCGACCCTGCTTAGCTTCCGAGATCGGGCGGGATCCCGTTTTTTTCAGGGTGGCATGGTCATAGACTCAAACCTGAGTTTTAATTTCCTCATTTATAAAGTGGGAATAACAAATAGTACCTAAATCATAATGTTAATGTTACTATGAAAATAAAAAGTGTACATAAAGCACTTAGCACAATGCTTGAAACATTCTAACTGCTCAGCAAATGTGGTAGTTATTACCGTTATAATATGAACAGTGAATGCTTTCATCGTGGAGGTGCCTGCAAAGATGGGCAGCATTTTTAAAAAGGTAGTTGGGTTCGAGGGAGGGAGAGGAGGCTTGTTTAAGTCTACCTGGAGGAGCAGATCTGAGATTGTTGGCGGAGTGTATGCCCCAGGTAGACCGTTGCCTCGCGATCTCCTCTAGGGACTGGCAATAATTCTAAATCCTGGGCCCGCGGTCTCAGATCTGCCTTTGTATCAACTTTTCCAGAGGCAGAATATTTAAGTTTGCCGAACGGTGGGAGGCGGTGACTGTGGTCCCGCCTGTAGCGCTACCTTTGGCCTGCGGGGGGCCGTCGAGGTGCCCGGACGGACACGGCGGCTGCGCAAAGCCGGGGCCGCAGAAGCCGGATTTGTCTAGTTCAGCTGACAGGTCCTAAGACGGAAGAGGCGGTGCGCAGGTTGAGTCCGGCGTCTCGGAGCTGGGCTCGCGAGTGGCGGTGAGGGGACCCGGGGCTAGGGCGGAGGGCGGAACTTTCCGGCCCGGCACAGTGGGGCGGCCGGAAGGTACGGTGGGGACCGCGCTCCGGGCGCACGAGTCAGCGAGTGCGGCCGGGCCGGGACTGCCCAGTGGGCCTCAACCCCCCAAACCTGGGACGGGGAGCCCCCAGCCCGGCCCGGCTAAAACTCCCCAGGGCGCTCAGAGGAGGAAAGGGAGGGTCCAGCCCGCTCCTTTGGGACCGCACCCGTCCGCCCAGCGTCCTCTGTGTCCTGGCGCTGGGGCAGGTAGCTAGGCTTGGGCCTATCCTCCGGTTTGTAGGTGAGTCGCACAGACTTCACTCAACATGCCAGGTGGTGAGCAGTGGAGACCCTGGCGACGGCGTGCTGATCCCGGAGCCAGGGCTGACCCCAGGCTTGGAGTCCGTAAGGTGTGGCCTGGGAGAATGAGTAGGATTTTTCCAGGCCGCAGGGAAACCCAGCGGAGGAGGGGTTTCCCTCGCCGGTGTAGCGGTTTCCGGCTTTCCAAAACTAATATTAAACTTGAATTATCTCTAGTCTGATGGCGCTGGGGTTTATATTCGTTCCCGTACTACAGGAATAGGATGGTCTGAATCCATATTTAGTTATATATTAGCTGTGTGACCTTGGGCCGGAAGAGGACTTAAATTGTCTTTTTTTTTTTTCTCATCTGTGTAATGGAAATAGTAGGACTTGCTTCGTGGGTTGTGGGAATCTAACAGGAGTTAATGCATTTAAATGGCTTGCACATGGTAAGAGTGCACCAAGTGTAATTAACTGTTCTTGTTATTGTCATTACCAAACCAACCTCCTGCTTCTAGTTGGATGTGACTGACCAGTTACTGAACCTTATGATTCTGACACTCCATTTCAGCATGCTGCATCCCACCCCAGTTCACTTCTAATTTTTTCCAGTGTCTAATGCAGGTTACTACTAGATGCTGAGAACAATACACATGCCAAAGATTTGATGCTGGCTCTTAAGGAACTAATTAATGGTTTGAGAGGAAGTACAAGTTCATAAACTATTGTAATGCAAGGTAGGATATGACAGTGTCTTAGGAAAGTTACAGTAACAAAAGTTTGCAGGATTTTTAAAGACAAGCATGAGGTCTAATTAGAAATTTCTACAGAGAGTAGGGGTTTTGGAGTTGGAACTTTAGGCCGAGTGGGTAGAATCAGAGGGAAATGTAGGTCAACGACTTGAATTAAAGGACTGGGACCCCCATGGCAGTTTCAGAAGCTGAGTTCTGTTGGGGTAGGTCATGAAGAACTTGATGGGAAATACTGCTTGGAGTAGAGCTGCTCTGTCCTGGCAGCACATTAGAGTTATCTGGACATCTTGGATAGCTACTGATACCTGATTTAATTGTTCAGGCGATTCTAATGTGCAGACAAGATAGAGAACACTAACCTAAACCCAGAAACTATAAATTCATTTCTCACCCCAGTTATAAATGTTTAAACTAGAAGAAACAGAAAGCTTAATTATGTTATCACCAGGTACTACATCTGGTAAAACTGTTTAAGATTAAATAAGGTAACGCGAAAGGACCTAATAACACATAGTGGGTGCTCAATAAATATAAATTGAATCTGAATTTTATTTTTAGCGTATTTAAGAGTCACATACCTGGAACACTGATTTTAAAATTATGGTTTATTATATAATAATTTTGCATGTATTTTCAGGGTGTTCATAGGATTCTCCATAATCCTTCTATGGGTCCCCCTTCTTCTTCCCCCTCACTCCCAGTTCAGAAGCCTGGCTCTAAAGCATTTAGAACAGAACATAAAAGTTTGCGTGTGCATGCATGCATGAGTTGTTTTGTTTTTTAACATCCAGCTATCATGCTTAAATTAACCTAACATGGAGTGTCCCTGGCAGAATTAATTCATTAGTAAGTGAGCGGAAAAACTGGAGAGGATTAGGAAATAAAGGAATAGAAGCAGCAGAAGAGGAAAGGAGAAACAAAAACAAACCCAAGAAGATGTTTGTTTGGGGTGTGGTGTGCTTGGTGTCTTCTCATGACCTTGACTTTCCTTCTCAGCTCCTAGGGCTGAAGACAGATAAGAAAACCTCTCAGTGTTGGGGACATGCAAATGCCCTTTACCACGTGGCTCAATTAAGCTGTCCTAGGAGAGTAATATGTAGCTGTAGATTAAGATAGACTAGCGTTCGGATGTGTTTGACTTAAGTAGCGATAACAGGAATTCAGAATTTAAATTTGGAGAGGCGTCTAACACCACCTTTTATGTGTTTTTTTTTTTTCTTTTTTTTTTGCAGATGGCAGGATTTCTATAGTATATCTAATATGAGTTCCACATCTTGGCTTCTTATCCAACTTCAGCAGTCTCATCACCGGTGGGAGAATAAATGGAATTTGCGTGAATTCCAGACTGAACTGAAATAGACTGTCGTATTAATATATTTTTCTTCTGGTTGTTATTAACAGGTACTAATTGACCTCAAATGAAACATGTCACTGTACCTTAGATAGGGAAGCAGCATAAGCAGAACCATTATCAACTGGAAAAACTTATTTTTTTGGAAGTGGAATAATTTTAAATGAATATGTCTAAATTTTGTAGTGTCACCTTTTATAGTGTGAAAAATCATGTCCTAACTTTTCAGTTTTGTACATTTCAATTTAAAAACTATTTCAGTCAAAAGGAAGTGTATTCGCAATGCAATTATAGTCAAACAAGTAATTTTTATAGATTCTCATTACATTTTCACATTTAAATTATCTGAAATTGTGATGCGTCTTTCAGTTGCTGTGATTAACAAGCATTGATTCACACTTTGATTATAGTGTATTTGTGTTACCAGGAAGAATGGTAAATCTTAAAATTGGTTTGACAAAATCTGATATTATTTCAAAATTTTAATGTTATTTTGTTGCTTTCTCAATTATTTAACTTTCTTATACAGTGTGTGTCCCCATAACATTTTCTAGAACAGAATATTCTCCCCTAGGAGCAATTTTGGCCCTTCCACCTCCCCTAGGCCATTTGGCTATGTCTGAAGATAATTTTGATTGTCACAACTTTTGAGGGAAAGGGACACTATTGGCATCTGATGGATTGAAACCAGGGATGCTGTTACACATCCTATACTGCACAAAACAGCCTCCCACAACAAAGATTTGTTCCAAAATGTCAGTAGTGCTGAGGTTGAGAAAACCTGCCCTAGAGATTCCTGTGGATTTTAAAAATTCATTTATTTTTAAAAAGTATATCAAATATACTTTAACTCCTTTTGTGGGCAAGACACTTTGCTAGGTTTAGTGGACAACTGAAGTAATTTGTGATTTGTCCTTTCAAAAAATTTTTTAAAGTGTTTTTCTCCCTTTAATCAGTCATAGTTAACTGATAAAATCAGCAATTAGAAGCATTGCAATCATTCTTTTTGGAAAAAAGGCTGCTACTATTGCACAACTTTGACATGCCTGTCATTTTTTAGTTTAGCAGAAAAGTGAGAGTATTGATTGACTTTGTACTTGTTCGGGAGGAACTTTGTTTTTTCTTGGGGCCACTAGACTTTTCCAAACTGTCTTTTCTATTCTTAACTGATTTGAATGATTATCTTCAGATCCTCAGAAAATTAAATGTCGTCAGAAGACCGAGAAGCTCAGGAGGATGAATTGCTGGCTCTGGCGAGTATTTATGATGGAGATGAATTTAGAAAAGCAGAGTCTGTCCAAGGTGGAGAAACCAGGATCTATTTGGATGTGCCACAAAATTTCAAGATATTTGTGAGCGGTTAGTTAATAAAATTCTCTTAAACAGATTTTTTTCTAAATAAAGGTTATTCTCAATTTCTTAGTGAAACCTAAATTATCACCTTATGTTTATAGGCATTAGTGATGGTGTTATTATAGATTTAATGCATGTTTTTGTTTTAAATGAAAATTGGACTGGGAGTTAAACAGTTTTCAGTTTGATTCCAAGTTTTGACTAATGAATTTGGAATATTATCCTTCATATTCCATGCTTCCTAATCTTCTAAGTAGCAGTTTATCAGCCATGAGTCATTGGCTGTTAAATAGATAGTAAAAGAGAAAATGAAATAATGTGTATGAAAACTCTTGGGAAGCTTTAAAGTACCATGGCGGTTGTTAATACTGTTTGGTTTCCAGAATCATTTAAACTACCATAAACATGTGATGTGTATTGTTACTCTGTGACCCTTTGCTTCAGGAAAAAAACAAAACAAAAAACTGCTTTTGATATAGATATTTACAGAAGACTTTGATGCACACTTTCTCAAATGTTTCTACTATAAAGGCATTGAGAAAAGGAAGTTAAGTGTGATGATTTAAAATGGAACTTTGATTGTGAGAGTGTTGTGTGCGGTATCTTGCCCTCAAGCCTGAGATCATTGTGTTGGCACAGATTCTCCCAACTATGATTCATGGGTAGTTGGCTCATAGTGGTCTAAGTAAGTCATGGTTCTTTGATAGAAATAAACATCCTTTTCTCTAGATTGTGTCTTTAATCATCTACTGTAAAACAACAACAAAAGAAAATGTTGTCTATTACTTACTCAATAGTGTTAGGAATTGTACTTAAAAGTGTATATAAGAATAAGTTGTGTATCTTCATTATAAATTTCATGGTGCTTAGTAGATTTTTAAAGAGCTTACAAGATTTTTTTAAAGGTGGTGGCTACGAAGTTAAAATTAGGGAATAGAAAGTGCTTTGGAGAAGGTTTTTATCCCCTCAGCTAAAGCATTAAGTCTTTCTTGAGCACCGCTCAACAATAATGGACACTCACTCAAGTGCTGACCAACTGATCCTTTCTAATCTTTGTTTTTGGTTCAGGCAATTCAAATGAGTGTCTCCAGAATAGTGGCTTTGAATACACCATTTGCTTTCTGCCTCCACTTGTGCTGAACTTTGAACTGCCACCAGATTATCCATCCTCTTCCCCACCTTCATTCACACTTAGTGGCAAATGGCTGTCACCAACTCAGGTTAGACCCGAAACTTAATTTCTCCTATCCATTTTTAGAAACTTAAAAAATCATCTTTAATTAAAGACTGCCTTGATCTTAAATTCAGTGCATGAAGAACAAATGGCTTTGATTTTGTTATTTTTCTCCTCGCCTTCATGAATCCTAATGTTAATGAATTGAAAATGTTTGGTGTTTTAGAAAGGAATGGCAGTAATTATGATTAATCCTTATGAATTGCAGTGGGAGTATTTTTTAATCAAGTATATTGTTTCTTGTCTTGTTATTTTCCCATTTAATCTGTACTGTGATGGAGACTATATGGTCCTCCTCATTTTCCTTAGATGTTGGTATTATTCTTTTTTTCTTAGTTTCTTATCCATTCCTTAAATGAAAGATTTAATTGTAATTGGAGGAATAAAATTGAGCTAATGTAATTAGAATAAACAAACTTCCTAAGTAAACATAATAAGTTATTTTTAAAGATCTGTATGTTAGTAATTGCTGACTGGTCTCACATAGCTATAATTACACACAAATAGAAGTGTGTATGATTCATGTAGATAGCTCATGAAGGCTTGAGATCTTATATTATGAACTGTCATGTCCTCCAGGTTATATGTCCTTTTCTAGTAACAACTTCAACTCTTGATTGAGACATAAATGTAACTTGAAGCTAATGTAAAGTGTTCTGGGATAATGGATCAATAGCAGTTACTTTTCTAGAAGTCATGATGAAGATTGATAGGCTGATGTATATTAAGACAAAAGCTGTCAGAGTTCTTGACCTTAAGGAACAATGCATCAGTTCTTCCTTTTCGATCATGTAGTTTTCAGTCTCCCTCCTCTCCCTTCCCCAATAGGCTAAGCTTTTAGATAAGAGTGCTTTTATAAAACTGAGCTTGAAATGGAGATTTAAAAACAAAATTAAACTTTAAAAAAAGATAATACACATGGAATAAAAAGGAATATTACCTCACATTCTAATAGCTGTGCCAGAGACAGTACATGCAAGACAGTGGATTATTTGCCAAAGAATATCAAGGCTGTTTGACATTTAGATCACTGATAGTTGGCTGAATTTAGATATTTATAGTCCTGTTTCTCAAGAGAACTCTTGATAATTTATATCCATGCCTGTGTGTGTGCATACACACATAACATTTACAACAAAAGAACAAATTAACTGGGGTGTGGTTCTAGTTTCAGATTCCAGCCAAATAACATTTGCTTAATAGGGAGAGGAGAGTTGTTCATTATTTTATGTTATACAGCTAAAGTTACAGTAGGATCCTCTATCAAATAAATTTTTGTTCTTGTAATTGACATTTTATGCTACTTTTTGGTTCAGTTCTTATTTGTTACTGGTACCTGATTCCTTGGCATTAGGAATTTCACCCGTTGATAGGGAAGTTGACACATGGACCTGTCTTTCACTGAATTGGGGTTGGTAAATAGAAAGGAAATAGGTTTAGTTTTCTTGTATTTTCCATGATTCCTACACACACACACACACACACCCCACCACCACCACCACCACCACCCCCAACCCCCGCCCCCCGCCACTCTCTCTCTCTCGCTCTTTTCCTCTTTCACTCCATTTTTTCCTCAATGTGCGTATCAGATGCCTCTTTTGAGAAGGGGCTGGAGAAGAAAAGAGGTTGGTGAGAATGGCTTCTTAATTGGATTTGGTGGCTCAACCAGAACTCAAAGCTTCCCTTTTAGTATTTATTCCATTTTACAACTTTCAGCAGGTTTCTCAAAGTGTGGTTGATCTTATGAGCATATTCATGCAAATGTGGAAAAGCATTAGTTTCCAATCTTGAACTGGTCATTTAGTGTTTAAGGTCATGTCTGTGTTAGGGCTGAGTGAGCAGCAAGGAACAGAAAACGTGGTCCTTGTTCACTTGTTATTTAAATTTACAAAGTGGATTTGCATCTGGAAGACTTATTTTTTGATGTTTACCTAAAAAGAAAAGCTAGTGTTAATCCCTGAGCTCTGCTTGCAAATATTTCACATTTCTAATATTTGTCATTCAGTTTGAATTAGACTACTTATAAGGAGGAAAAGTTGAAATAGTTTAAATTTCAGTTGTTTAGCTTAGAAACTGTGAAATTTCCCTTTGGCAACCAGACCATGTCAAAGGCTTGAACTCATGTCCTGTTCCATATCAGTCT